CACTTTAGGCAGCGCTTTTAATCGTTGCTAAGGTCTTTTTTGGCATAGTGAAAGTCCATACATTATGATGCATGACTCTCGACAACATGCATTATCACCAAAAGGATCATTATACACATCTCACCATTTATACACTACATCATTCATCATGGGAAACAATTAATCAATGTTACAACACCAATAAACAACAACAAATAGCAGCAACTCAATAAATGTAACTTCATAAGTACTCATTCATGTTACTTCACCAAAATCATAAATCGCATAAATCTGATTCGCAAGTCGATCATACAAGTCAGCATAACATTTCCATAATAGACATGTGATTATAATTCAAACACATTATCAAACACTACCATGAGGTAGCTCTGCATGTTAGCTTTCTAATACTTCGAATGGCATCTCATTTGGACTTACGGAACAAAAGTTACGATCAAAATCGATAAGTGGGTCAAGCAAACAACCAATTATGCAAGTTACAGGTTCATGACTACCATGGACGTCATGGCATGACGTCCGTCATGAACCTGAGCTCAGAGAGCACCCTAGGTCTTATGGCATGACTACCATGGTAGTCATGAACATTCATAATGTCAAAAAAACACGCTTTCGGCAATGGAGATCAAAGCAAACTCTCATTCTTTCACCCTCGACTATCAAAATCAACAATAAATAATATATATGTGGCACATATTCATTCATAGCATTTTATTTTCATGGTTTAGCACATTTAATTTATCAATCCCTCAAAATCATGTTTACCCCAAAACCTTCAAAATTCTTTAAAATGGTGAAAAATATCAAAATATCTCAAAACAAAAAATAGTAAACATATATGCACACGAAATTCATCATTAAAACATCTAATAACACCAAAACATCATAAAAATTTATAATTAATCACATCCCAATTGCCCTAAAGAGAGTAAGGATCTTTCATCCTACCTTTCATGCAATACAGATTGGTAGTCATTTCTCCCCATTTACCTTAGATTTTTAGCAATGATAGATAATTGAACAACTTATATGACTCTCTCTTCTCAATCATAACTCTCCTTCCCAAAAAGCTCTTGGTTCCTCTTTGTCTCTTGTTTTAAGTATTGTCATATTTCTCTACAAGCCTACCTCACCTCCCAACTTTTAGAATATATAGTATTTCTAACTATTTTCTCAAAATTTATTGTATTTTTCCAACTCGTTGCTAGTTTCTCTACTCTTGCCACATATTTTATCTCATTCTCACAAATGGCCCAAAACTCTTATTTTACTATTTTATTTAATTAATTCTATTCTAATATAAGATTAAAATTTTAATTAATTTTAAACAATTATACCAAACTCTTCCTCCCTCTCTGTCCCTCTACTCCAAGGATACTTGTCCTCACAACCACACACCAAATAATTTAAAACACTAACTAATCAAATAAAATTTAAATAATTTAATTAATTTAATTAATCAAATTTAGAGTGTTTCAATAACTACCCTCAATTTCATATATTGATGATCAAAACTTCTTACTTTAGAATATAAAATGTATAATATTAATTGATAATCAACAAATCAATAATAATAGTTAATCCTAAAAAATTGATACATTTTTTTTGGGTTAATATTTATTTTGCGTCTGTCATATAAAAATTTCTTATAAAAAATTGATTTCATCTTTAATATTTTCAGATTTCTTCTTAAATTATGTGATAGTGTTTTTTAATAATTTTTTTTTTATGATGTGGAACCCAAATTGACTTTTTATTTTAATTTTTAATTTCATATTAGCTTCTTTTTTATATATTAATAAAAAAAACCATAAAATTTGGTCCATATGAGACTTAAACTGAAGAGGTTCACTACTTCTACTAGCTTCATTGTCCACTACTTATATATAGTGTTATTAATATTAGTCATGTTATTAATATTTCATATTAGCTTTTCTTTCTTTTTTTTCTTTGGATACTAATAAATAAAAAACATAAAATTTGGTCCTTATGAGACTTAAACTTAAGAGGTTCACTACTTCTACTAGCTTCATTGTCCACTAAGCTAGTAGATTTGGTTTGTTATATATGCCCTCAAACTTTATTCATAACATGGTTGCGCCTGCTAGTTTTTAATAATAAGTTGATAAACTTATTTATATAGCATATTTGTAACATGCTTATAAATAAAGTTAGTTTCAAATTAATAACATGTACTATTAATAACACGATAACATAAATTATTTTATAACATGACTATAAATAATTATTTTATAAATTTTTAAAATAGTTATTTAATATTTAAATAAAATTTTAATGAACTAATAATATCAAATATATGAAACAAATATATTTTAAAATTTAAAAATCTTTTAAAATATTTACATAACATATTTAAAACTAAATATAATTTAAAACTTCTCAAATGATTATTTAATATTTAGATAATTATTTAATAAATTGATATTATCAAATACTAGCGTCCAGACGGATACGTGAGTGCCCGTCTGTCTGTTTTTTCTAATACCGATTTTTATAAAGTATAATTTATATTATATTTTTATTTAATTTTAAATTATTTATAAAATAGTTTAAAATAATAATATGAAAAATAATAAACCGTCGTTTAACCACCGTTGTGAGGGAAAAAATTAAAATTTAAAACAAAAATTGAAAATAACAAATTTGAAAGAAAAAAAAAAGACTACACCATATTAATGTTTTACCTTTATATATTAGTATAGATGAAACTAATATGATTTCAATTTTTCAAAATATTTACAGAACATATTTAAAACTAAGATTATTTAAAAATTTATTAAATAATTATTAAATATGAAATAATTAATTAATATATTATTGTAAATAATTATTAAATAGTTTAGAAATATTAAATAAACATCTTTTAAGTAATTATTTGAGAAGTGTTATGCAATAAATTTTAAATATTATATTTTTATTAATATCGAAAATTAATCTAATTTTAAATATTTAAAATAATATTAATTTCATATTTGAAAATATCAGTTTATTAAATAATGTATTAAAAATTTAATTAATATGCACTGTAAAATTGTTTTATACTATCAACCAATTACCCTCATATATTTCGCCACATCAGATTGTAAATTTTTAATTAAATATATTACAGGACTGATTAATATATTTTTATTGGATAATAGTGTAAAATTACTTTACACTATTAATGCATATCAATTAAACTCATATATTAATATAAATCATTGTTTAAAGTATTATTTCATATTTAGTAATTACTTATTAATATATTAAATAATTTGAAACTAACATAGTTTCAAAATAAATATTTAAAATTATTAAATATAAAATAATTTGAGGGCAACCATAACAAATTAGGCTAATCATGTTATTAATTTGAAACTAACCTATTTATTTATAGTTATGTTCTAAAATATGCTATATAAATAAGTTTATCAAATTATTATTAAAAATTAACAGGCGCAACCATGTTATAAATAAAACAAACAAAATCTGTTAATCTATTGCACAAGGATAGGTATTTTACACACACAAACAAATTACACCATATTCTACGGTTCACATAAAAAAATTCAATTCAATATTTTTTGTGAGGTTCACCGATGGCAAGAATGTAATTGAAGCAAATTGGTGATGAATTGGTCATATGAGTCATTATGTCGAATGTGGAATAAGAAGAATAAGTGATGAGTCTCATGACTAATATGCACCACTCAATTCAGCCAATTAACTTTTATTTCGAGAATTATTCCATCTTTGAAATATCTAAGCTCATAAAGTTTCTACAAGAAAATAAATATACTCTTGTACCTTTTGGTGATGGCACACATGAATCAAAAATCTAGTCACAAAACATGTATGTGTTGTTCTAACATTGTGCCATAGAAAAAAGGTTTATTGATGTCATCATGGATATTAAGATAGAAAATCTTTCATCCGTATAGTCTATATAGATTCTTCGTGGTAGAGAACTTGTGGAGCGTGTTAATTAAGAATTTAAGATTCCTGAATGGCACTACACACTTGACACATGAGAATCTCCAGCAATATGCAACTTAGTGAAAAAACTGCCAGCTAATTTTTTGACTAAAGACTAGAGATTGGATAACAGATTGAGTGTGTTTGGAAAACTTGAAAACCACGGCAAGTGTGTTGTTGAAAATTACGGTGAAACAGAAACTATACTTACCGGTGAATGTGTTGTTGAAAATCACAGTGAGACAGAAGTTACACCCTCAAAAACACGTGAAAATGCCTTATACATGCGGCGGTCTACCATGTTACCAAACATGGGCCGAATTTATACAAGCATGCTTTATCCAAAAAGTGACAAACCAGATAAAATTGTATGTATAATGACTCAAATCACAATTTTAGTCTTTAAAATTGAATTGGTTCAATGAACATGACCATATTCAGAAACTATAGCTTATTGTACCGGTTCTAATTAGAGACACATAACTAGTGTATGTTCTTTTTTTGATTCCCTGAATTGGAAAAAGCTCAGAGTAACTTTGCTAAATTGTTTATGAATTTCTGGTGATAAGTAATAATATCATGACCCACACAAAAATCTTCCACAATAACACAAAAGTCTCCATCTAATCAATGCAATAAGATAAATAATGCAGGCAGAATGGTTTATATTCAAATGAAATGATTGAATGAGAATAGTTAGGCCCCATGGTGATCATTGATTGTGAAGATTAAGTGGGATTACTACTCTAAGAAAAAATCTTTCAATTGGGACCATTAACATTAAATATGCAGTGGTACTCAAGAAAAAAAATGACACAAGAAATGGTCTAAAACTCTTTTGTAGAGCATTCTCTATTCTGTATTCATATAACTCAACATTACATTACAAGATACAACATTCACGAATCTCTAAGAAATCATCTGGTATTGGTACTAATATTTTTTATGACTATGAATTTCAATGAAAGAATCTGTAAAGACTTCCAATAAAAATTGTGAACTGAACAATTACAAATACAGAAGTATCACTATAATACAGGTACAGAGATGGACATTGGTACTGAAACATCACCAGCAGCAAAGCTTGTATCCCTAGTTTGAGCTGAATTGCTAGCATATGCATAGCCTACACCTAATCCACCATAATGTAGAGATGCATTTTCACATCTCTGAAACACTCTCGCGAGTGAAGCGGCTTTTCGTCTAGCTCGCTTTGTTCCGGTAAATAGTAGGGTTTGAAGTAATCCAGCCAAAGCTGGTGCTTTGACCACCATTTCGGTTGCAGCTGAACCTCCACTCCGACATAACTCGAGTAATGCTGCAACTGCGTTTTCTTTGCCCCTCGGTGTTCCACAACGCATCATTCCTATCAATCCTGCTACGGCTTCTTCCTGTTTGACTACTGCTTTGGCTCCAAAAGGCTGCCGAACAATCAAGGCAAGGGAACCTGCTGCTTCCTCGGCAACTCCTTCGTAACCTAAAGCCTCGACTAGAGCTGTTACGGCTCCTGCTTCGATCATTCTAACACAATTCTCGGTGTGTGTGGAAAGATTGAACAAAGCTGTCACTGCATCCTTCTTTCCTCTAGGAGTCCCGTTTTGCAAAAGCCCTGCTAGGGCTTCAACAGCTCCAGTCTCGTCCGCAATTATCTTCTTATAGTCATGGACTGCTGATAGGCTGAACAATGTTGCAGCAGCATTTTCCCTTGCTTCTGTTGTATGCCCAAATCTCAACACATCTACAATTGATCCAAGACAACCTGACTCATCCATGATCCTGCTTTTGTTCTTGTCGTAAATGGATAGGTTGAGCAATGCAGTAACTGAATTTTCCTGCGCAACGGAATTAGGCGTCGAAAGTAAGTTCCGAAGATAAGGAATCGCCCCCGCTTCTGCAAGGAAGGCACGATTTTCTCTGCCCGTTTTTGCAAGCAACCGAATCTCCCGAGCAGCTATAGTCTTTCCGGATTGCGATCCATTAGCTAGCTGTTGAATGAGAAGATTGGCAGTAGCTCTATTTGCTTCAAGGGCAGCTTTGGTGGGAGAAGCAGATCCAAAAGCTTCACCCATTGCATCCATCACCTCTGGCGGATCAAGAGGAATTCCATGAGCATTGCACCACTGCACAATCAAATTCCTCAAGGCACGATTTGAGACAAGACGAGTGTGAGCAAGCGTTTGACCTGTTTTTGGACAAGTTGTATGCCCTTCATCCATCCACCTAGAAATGGAACTCCTATCATAAGTTTGACCGGTTGAAATAATCACCGGGTCTCTCATCAAATCCAATGATATCGGACAACAAAAATCCTTCGGAACAGTTAAAAACGTTTCAGCAATTTCTTGAGTAATCAAACCCATCTTCGGCTTCTTCTGAATCCCATTTTCCAAATCAAGCTCATCTTCCTCAAAACCAAAAATCAAAAACCTACAATACCGCGTCATCGCCACCAACCCTTTCAGCACCGAAATCGTAGGCTCAATATCCCCCTCATGGTTAACAATCTGCTCCTCCAAAGCCTCAATTTCACCTCTACAACAACCCGCATCAACAATCCCCAACTTCTCAACATAAAACCACCGCAACTCATCCGATTCCGGAACCCTCCCATTCTCAAACTCATCAAGAAACGAAAAGAATCGAATCCTAAGCGCATCATCTCCCATATCAATGAACAACTTAGCTCTCCTCGATTGCTTCAACAAAAGCTCAACCTGCTCCCTAACATCCTTACTCAAACCAACCTCCTTAACAGGAAAAACATCCAAAAGAGTCGAAATCTCCTGATTCAAATCATGAAAATGCCCCGAAATCGAATGATTCTGAAGCAAAAGCCACAACTTACTCGATTGCGCGCAGTAATCAAGAAGAATCTTCGACCTATACAGCAACAAATAAAGCTCCTTCAAACAAAGCAAAGCCGTAGACGGAAGATTACACCCCTTAGAACCCGAATCATTCAAATACTCCAAAAGCAACTGAAAAACCTCAACCTTTCTAATCAAAGAACGCGTGTTCTTCCTCTGAAAGAAAAAGGAACACTTCGTAAAACAAGAAACAAGCTCGTTCACCACCGCAACAAGAGTCTGAACCAAAGCGACGTCGCTTAAGTCAACCGGAGCAAGAAAAGCTTCCAACGTCGGCGATCTTCGCCGCCGCAACGACGAGAAAATTGCTCCTGAAGCCATTTCTAGGGTTTCCTTCAACTCCAAGATAAAATCTTCCAAACTCAGATAATAATAATAATAATAATTTCGTAAATAAATAATTTAAAGAAATACAAATTTAATTAAATCAGATCTGTGGAATTTTCTTTTCTGGGAAAATTTTCTGAAACAGAACAAAAAACAGAGTGTGAAACAGTTATTATTGTTGTTATTGGGTTGGTTTGGTTTGAATGTTGAAAGAGTTAAGAACAGATAGATAAAGAAAGAAGAAGATTGAGAGTTAGAAGAAAAAAGATAATTCGGCCGAATCCGCGTATGAGAGAGGGAAAATAAAAAATAAAAAATAAAAAATAAAATTGAAGAAAATAAAAATATGACTGAATTTCCAAAGACTTTTATTTGTTTTTTTACAATTTTAATCTTTCTATAACGTGTAATAGAAAAAATAGTGAAAAATGAAAATAACTTTCCTAAGTTTGACGAATTGGTTATGTTATGTAGATTTTGGTCCTTTCATTTTTTTTTTCTTTCTTTGCTTTGATGCAAGATAGAGAAAGGAGAAGTAGAAAGAAAGAGAAGATTAAAGAGGGGTTTACTTGTCAACCCCTAAAAGTAAAGAAGGGTAGGCTTTTGTGGAAATTACATTTATGGGGTTGTGGTTGGTAGTGTGATGTTGTGAGGAGTGAGGAGTAGATTGTATTTTAACGATGTTTTGGGGGTATTTGGTGGGAATGTGTGGGGTTGATATGGTTTTGACTTTGTGAAGTGGAATGAGGGGTATCTCTTTTTTTTTTTTTTTGCTTTTCTTGGTTATGATAACAAATTTACCTAAAGTTTGTACTTTTTGTTGTTTCTTGATATGTGTGTTTTACATTTCTTTCTTTTTTGTTTTGCACATAAGGAAAGGAAATAGGGATGGGGCTAGGTTTGTTGCCGTTTGGAGCTTTTTATTGTTTGTAGATTAGATTGCTTTAATTTAAAATTGGGACACCAAGATTAAAAAAGAAATGTTTTTTATGGGTAATATTGTATTTGCATGTATTAGGATAGCTTATAAAAAATGTTTTCAGAATATAATTTATTAACTAATAGTTATAGATTGGTTCATAGTTAATTAATATTATATTAATAAGTTCGATCTTTTACAACTGTGATTAAAAAAAATTGAAATTATTTAACGTCGAAATTGATTTTTTAATTGAATTAGTCTATTTAATAGATCATATATTAATGATAAAGAATTAAAATTTATTGAAATATATTGCATCTCAATTGAAATTAAGTTCAAATATTTATATAAAAAATCTTAAAAATTTGAGATGGATCCTATAAAAAATTAATAAAAAATTTTAAGTTTTTTTTATCTACAATCTTTTTATAGATTTAATTTTAGATTAAAATTTAATAGTTTTAAAGTTCTAGTATGATTGGTTAGGTTATTTAAAAGTTTCTTTAAAAAAATTTATTGACTTTAAACAAATATGAATGATTTTGAGTAAAACTAATACACTAGTTGAATTATAATAAATAATAAATAAATAAAACCTTCTTACTTCTTTATCCAATTTAACGGTTTCTTTACATTAGGTGTGCTAAAATGTTAGCCTATTTTTTACTGTATATAAATTATTCTTTTAACAACGGGAAAAAACGGAACGTTTTCAAAATTATGTTAGCTATTATTGATAAAAATGGTATTACTAGTTTTAGATGCATATTTTCACAAATTAATGTTTTAATTTATAATAAGTGATCAATTCAAGATCGTTTTTAAGATCGTATAAAACGAACGAACTACACTACGTTAAATATAGTCTCTTAAATATAATTTACAACATAATTAAAATTAATTTAAAATTATTATATAAAATTTTTCAAAAATTTAAAACGACTCTGAATAAATTTTTATACTGACAAATAAATTATTTGACATGTACACAGAATATTTTTAAAAATGTGATATTATAAAGTAATTTGTTTAGATATATTTATTAAAACATAGAGAACGTTGTATATAAATAAAATCTTAAAAACAAGGGGGACTGCATTATAGAGAAAAAAGGTTGACTAGAGAAAATGATGAGATGGGACCACGCGATTTGGAAGTAGCTTAGCTGTAACTTGGAAGTAAATGCCGATTTCCGCTCTTTTGACTAGAGAGAGCTACGAACCAAACCAAACGTTAACTTGACTCACTACTCTCCCAAATCACAATCTTTCATATATATATATATATATATATATATATATATATATATATATATATATATATATATATATGAAAATGCTAACCAGTGTCCTCATGATACTTTTTAAAACTTTAAATAGTAAGACCCATATATATATTGAAAATGCTAAATGCTAATATGCATTGGAAATTAAAGTGTTTGAATTTTTTAAATAATAATTTTTTAATATGAAATGTTTAAATAGTGCCCAGAGGACACTGGTTAGCAAGACCCATATATATATATATATATATATATATATATATATATATATATATATATATATATATATATATATATATATATATATATATATATATATATATATATATATATATATATATATATATATATATATATATATATATATATATATATATATATATATATATATATATATATATATATATATATATTAGTACTATAATTTACTAATCAATATCATATATCATTACTTATGCTTATATAATATATAGTATTCACCCGTATTTATAAAGTGAACTACAAGATACACCATAAACAACAGTATATTTTTTATAATTATAAAAAAGATTATAAATAGTATATGAACAGTATCATTAATAGTATGTAAGTACTTTACATAATTTTTTTTAAATAGTAAAATAAAGTTTGTTATTTAAATGTAAAAAGTTGATTAATGAAATGATAAAGTTGGTTAATAGACGTTCAAATAATAAAAATAACTTTTAATAATGAAAAAAATTGATTAATAAAAAGTAAGAAGTTAATTAATAAAATTATGAAGTTGATTAATAAATGTTTAGATATTAAAAATATTTTTTTAGTAGAAAATAAAGTTGATTAATAATATATAAAATGTTAGCTTAATAATGTTACGAAGTTACTTAATCACACATTTTTATATTAGTATTATTTAATTTAAAAATAAAAATAAAAATATTATATTTCTTTTTTTAAAAATAATATTATAATATTTTACCATTCACTGTATTGGTGAAAAATGAAATACATAGTAGGTGTATGATATAATATAAAAATATCATTTTTGTTTATTAATTGTTGTTAATGTTAAACTATTTTGTCTATATATTTAGAAAATATGGTTGACTACATGTGGGTAGGAGTAGGAATAGGTTAGACTAAGTTAGGCTTTTGACAAATTTGAGTCTGGTCTGTTAAAAATTTCAAAGTCTAAGTCTAATCTATGGTTTATCGTAGACTAATTTTTAGGTTTGAGTTTGGTCTTTTTTGAAGACCTGTTTAACCTATTAACCTACATAAAAGGTTGTCGTATTTAAAGATTTGTAAATAAGAAATTACATTAATGTTTAAATAGACTAATAAATTAAAAGATCGATGAGACTAAATGGTTATTTGCATTGACTTATACAAGGTTACATATTAACATAAGTTTTGTGATACTATTTATTTGAAAGAACTTATGAAAATAACTTATAACATTGTTCATGAGGTTTTTTTTAAACTTATTTTCATAAGTTCTTCAAGATAATTAAGTTTTACTTTTTTATTTTAATTCAGGTTTAGAAGCTTCTTTTATGACCTGTGGCTTAGCCTTTTTTAACTAAATAGGCTTATAAAAAAAACATAAATCTTTTTTATTTGAAGAAAAAGTTTGGTCTGACCTGAGCCTGTGTAAGTTAGGCCATAAGCCCTTGTTAGTTGGTCTGGCATATTCTCACCCTTACATGCGGGGGCGAGGGTTCACATTACCTAGTTTAGCAAGAAATCTTGTGAGCATAATAAGCAATAGTTTGTGAGGACAAAAAACAATAGTTTGGTGAGGAGGATGACAAATGTAAACGTCAATGGAGAGTTTTTCCAATCGAGAGTTTATAAGACTTTTACGAGCCAATGCATGTGGCAAACAACACGAAAAATGAAGGACAAGATTAAAGCTAAAACATCTAACATAGCCACCCTCATCAGAACTCATAAGAAAATACATTGAAGAAATTGATTTATGGAGAAGACTAATCAAGCTCTTTAGTTGATCACGAAAGTCCAAAACTAAGGTGAAGATACAAAGACTAGCGTGAAAAGAAATATGAGCACTAGACAACATGTTACCTCTAATTGAAAGAGAGGTATTACGTGTTGGCTTAAGTAATGTTAATTCATCGATTTTTTAGGCAAACCATATTGTGCACATAGCACATGAGGTTGCTATTGGAGAAGTTGTGGATACACTTGATTTGAATCTCACTAGCCCATATGTCCATTGTTAGAACAAGATTTGGTTTTGCATTTGCCATTTAGTTTTGATGATAACAATACATTATTTCTTAGAGAACAATTTTGTACACCAATAGTTTTGTGTCTAGTGTGTAGCTTTTGCTTAATAGGTTTTGACTCTGAAGTTTGACATGTGACGTCATCAGACTCTGGAATCAACACACTCTAACTTTGGAGAGATACAAGTGCTTTACAAGATGTTGTCAAGTTCTAGAAAGCTCTTAGACAACAGTTCTGAAGAATGTTTATACCAAGGCTTCTGAATGTGACTCTGATTGAAGAGCCTTTGAAGGATTGTCTACCTTCAAGATTCTGCGCTCAAGTTCTAAGGATTTTGAAGAAAAAGATTTGAAGACTTTGAAGATCAGGTTCTGAGGAACTGTGTCAAAACTCTGAAGACTAAGGTTTTGAAGATTATCCCAACCCGTCTCTTAATCTTTCTAAACATGCTTCAACATTATTTTAACAGAAGCCTCTGAAGATTAGAAGATAAGATTAAAAGGTTTTGCGTCAGGAAAATAGTACACAATACAAGATCATCCTTGCCTCTACTGTCTT